AAAGTTTTCCAATTAAGAGAAGACAGAAATGTTCCAAAAAAAAGTTTTCCAATTAAGAGAAGACAGAAATGTTCCAAAAAGAAGTTTTCCAATTACGAGAAGACAGAAATGTTCCAAAAAAAGTTTTCCAATTAAGAGAAGAGAGAAATATTCCAAAAAAGTTTCCCAATTACGAGAAGACAGAAATGTTTCAAAAAAAAAGTTTTCCAATTACGAGAAGACAGAAATGTTCCAAAAAAAAAAGTTTTCCAATTACGAGAAGACAGAAATGTTCCAAAGAAAAGTTTCCCAATTACGAGAAGATAGAAATATTCCAAAAAAGTCTCCCAATTACGAGAAGACAGAAATGTTCCAAAAAAGTTTTCCAATTACGAGAAGACGTAGAAATGCTCCAAAAAAAGTTTCCCAATTGCGAGAAGACAGAAATGTTCCCCCCAAAAAAGTTTCCCAATTACGAGAAGACGTAGAAATGTTCCAAAAAAAAACAGTTACAATAGAAAATGATACAAACCTTCAGCCTTCAGTTTTGATTTTAATGATTACAAAGTTTCAACACATACAATCGAATCGATTCTTCGTCAGGTAAAAGTTACACTCAAAATGGCGTTTGAATCGTTATGGTAAGGACAAGTTTGTAGGGGGCGCTAAATTAACTATTTTAGTAAAATGAGGAGAATATAATATTAGACAAATAGAGTTCCTGGATATTTATTTAGGGATGACTTTATCAGCATTGATTGCTTCAACTGTTTTTCTTCTCTTGATATTTGGTTCGACATTGTTTTAAGTGATAATATGTTGTTTTTTTAATGTTCCTTGAGTCTGAGGTTCGTTTCTCTCTTGGTTTCTCCGATATAAAAAGCCCCCCCCCCCCTAGTGGCACAGCGGTATGTCTGCGGACTTACAACTCTAGAAACCGGGTTTCGATACCCGTGATGGGCAGAGCACAGATAGCCCATTTTGTAGCTTTGTGCTTAATTATAAACAAACGAACCGATATAAAAGTGAATTGTATTTGATTTTGTAGATGACTCTGTTGTTTTTTTTATTGCCAGTGGGATAATTGTTAGTTATAACGTTATTGATTTTATAACCTGAGTTTTGTACGATTATGGTATATGTGTCGATGTTGTGTTTCTTCATGAGTAGTTTTCATAATCAAATTAAGTATTAGTTGAGGTTTTCGATATAAATAATTGTAGTGATGATAAAGGTGAAGTTGTTATCATCTCCAAGATTTGTGTTTTTTGTTTGTTTGAATTTTATTTGATATGTCGATTAATTCTTAATAACTTCTACCGGATGTTTTTTTTTTAAATGAAGATTTCACAATTTCTCCTCTGTAGTTCATCGTCAATGTTGTTTGCAGAGCGTATATAAAAGTTTATTTGCATAATACACTTCAAGGTCCCTAATTTCTGTTGTATGGAGTGTGTGGAATTATAAATATGGTATTCTTACCTTTCAATGGATATTTTAGTGTCAAACATTGATTGTTTTCTTATGAGTGGACGTTTAGAATGCTGATGGAGAAATAACAGTCGTTTTCAACTTTAATATGAATGTTTTTCATCAACTGTTGTTTATTTTTTAAAATAATTTCTTTTTCGGTTATATCGTACTCTTTATGCGGACTCGGACCTTTACGTTTACTGTCTATTTCAGGATTTCTCTCGAAGCTATATAAGGTCTAATTTTGGTCCTGCATGACCAGGTAGTTAGGGCGCTCGACTCGCAATCTGAAGGTCGCGGATTCGAATCCCCCGTCACACCAAACATGCTCGCCCCTTTCAGCCGTGGGGGCGTTATAATGTGACGGTCCCACTATTCGTTGATAAAAGAGTAGCCCAAGAGTTGGCGGTGATGACTGGCTGCCTTTCCTCTAGTCTTACACTGCTAAATTAGGGACGGCTAGCGTAGATAGCGCGAAATTCAAAACAAACAAACAAACAAAAGGTCTATTTGCAAATGGCCGTCCCTAAGTCTGAACTGATAGGCTTAGATGAAAGGCATTTAGTCAACAACACAGTTTATGATTTGTTGTTGTTAAACTTTCATTTCTTGGCACCTTAATTCATAATAAAAATGGTAAATTTGAATATGAGCTATTTCATAAAAAATCCCTGAGTTTATATCTTAATTTTGATAGGTTTATACCAGTGTCCTCAAATACGAACTTGGTGAAAAGCCTTGTTCATTGAGCGTACCAAATGACCAGTATAAATAATTTATAAAATATCAGTAAGTTTTTAATAAAAGTATTCATTTCCAATATGTATAATGAACCATATTCTTCATGTCTATTTAAACATTCACAAACAGCTGAATTGTGATGTTAATAAACAGAAGGTTGCCTTAGTATTACTATATACGGGTGAACAAACTATTGGTGATCATAAACAGAAGGTTGCCTTAGTATTACTATATACGGGTGAACAAACTATTGGTGATCATAAACAGAAGGTTGCCTTAGTATTACTATATACGGGTGAACAAACTATTGGTGATCATAAACAGAAGGTTGCCTTAGTATTACTATATACGGGTGAACAAACTATTGGTGATCATAAACAGAAGGTTGCCTTAGTATTACTATATACGGGTGAACAAACTATTGGTAATCATAAATCAACAACGTAAACTTACACAAAGGTTGATTTGACGATGTTACTTTAAATCTGAATATTTCAAGTTTAAAAATTGGATATCTACATTAAAGGCTTCAAATAATGGATATTGGAATAAATGTCCTAAATGACCGTTGGTTAGCGGTAAGTTTACATACTTATAAAACTAAAATTGGTGGTTCAATTCTCAGCGATGGACAGAGTACAGATAGCCCATTGTGTAGTTTGTGCTAAAACGAACAAACTTAAATGCTCTGTAATTCTGTACTACTTTGATGAAGCCGCGATGGGAAATGTTAGCTGAAATTAAAAGTTTTTGTTATCATTATCTGGAGAGTAAAGGTCATTTTCTAACTGTATTGTCAAAATGTTTAAATCCCTCCAGTATGCACTACAAATTCTAAAAAAAAACAACAACAACAACTAAATGTTTTTAGGTCATATTGAATCCATTTGTAGGTGGCTTCAAGCACGCGCACACGACCGTGAAAATATTAAGTCAACGTCATTTCACAACATTAATGGTTATGCGCTAGGTTAGTGTAAACATTGCAAATAGAGAACAATTTAAATCTATTGGTCAACTGATTTCAAATGATGTTGACTGATCAAAATAGCGTAGTCCATTTGTTATTAATTTTGTAAGTTATTTTGCTTTATAATTATTTATGTGCCTATATCGTGGTAACTGGCATTGTTAGGTTACGTCTATTGTATTATAATTAAAATTGATATTTTTGACTTTGATCGTACATTTCACTCTAGTATCCAATGCGATACATTTACTTGTGATTATTAGTTTTTACCATCACCGTTTCAATTTATTCCGTCTTTAATTATTATAACTTGTCTTTTCACCTTTTCTCCAAATATCAGTGTCTATATGAAACTCAACTTAAATATCTTTAATAACCAATAGATGGCGACACAATACGCTAATCTTAGTGTTTTTCCAAACTCCAGTAAGATTGTTTTAAATATTCAGTAAAAAGTTTTATAAGCATTTTTTATATGAAATTTGATACATTTATGGACTTTCTCTTGACCATCCAATTCTTTGCTTTTGCCATCACAACTATTAATTCGTAGAGTCAGACAATTGACCATTTGGGAATCAGTTTTCCATATGGTCAACTCTATACAAAGTTATCAAGAAACATATTTGAACATAACATCAAAATATACGATTCTAGATTCTAATTAAAGACCACTTGCAGGTTATGAAAGTATGCTCAGATTGGATAACACTATATTTTGTCTATAGTTTTTATAGTTTGATTGCTTAGTGTTGACTTGACTTCTTTAGATATTTTATGCATGAACAACTTATATCTCTATATTCATTTTATTTATATACCGACGTTTCAGTTTCACATCTTTATTAAGGGTCACAGCTGCTGTTTAGGTCCTGCTATAAATCATTATTTTTCATCAGAACGTGTTTAAACGGAGGTATTTATGAGTCACTGCCACGGTATCTTGAGATCGTCAGCAACTGTAATCTTCGATAAAAGTATAAAATTGAAACGTCGAAATGCAAACTAGATATAATAGTAATTTATTCTCAAAACTATAGTTTTAATGTATCCCTTATAAAGAGGGAGGCATATTGTATTTTCTGTTTCTTTCTTCTTCTTCATCACGATCGTAGTTTATGCCTCCTTTCTCCTGTCTTGCATGCAATTCTTTCTTGAAATTTTCTGTATTCTGCTGATTTGAACGAGTAAGGTGGGTAGAGGAGACATATTTCATAAGCTTGTGAATGTTGGTTTTTTTTAGTATATATTTATGGCTTCAATATAAAGCTGTTGGAAGTTATACTAGATTTGCACACGATTAACACTAGATGGCACTGCTACAGATTACCTAGATGGGATTCGTATTTGAATATTAATTTGATTTTTATTTATTACTAGTCAATATTGATACTGAAGCATAATCTGCATTTTTCTATTCATTATATTACGCTGCTAATGAAACTTTATTAAATTTCTTTATCTAATGTATTGCATAATTTTTTTTGGCTTTAGTTTGTGTCTTGGATTATTTTTCTTTGAATGTTAAAATACATATAATCTTTTCAAAGTGATCGTTTTGACACTCTATGTAGCTTGAGCTAAGCGTTAATTTTAGGTTTAATAGACGCGACAGTGTTTTACTGTTTAGATCACTATCTCCTGGTCTTTTAAAATATATTATTTTATGAGCTTCACTATAAACACCAAGCTCAGGTCCCTTACGCACATTATCTTTTATAAGATCGTTGTCACGAATACAAGTTTCAGATTCTTTATGTAATCTGTAATTTTTTTTCAGGATCGTGAACACCACCATCAGACCCAAGTGGGTAGGATAATTGGAACCGTGGCTTGGATGATCATCTTTGGCGATGGATTACATTACTTTATAGATGGACTTTCTATTGGTGCAGCTTTTACTAATAGCATCCTTTCAGGGATTAGCATATCTGTAGCGGTGTTTTGTGAAGAGTTGCCTCATGAACTAGGCGAATACATGAACATGATAATAATGGGCAATCAATAATAGTAGGCGATTCTGTGGAAATTATATACATTTTGATAAATTTTTAGTTATCTCTGTCATTCGTTTATTTATTTTTGTAACTGTATAGTTTTGTTCTGATTTTTGGAAATTATATACATTTTGATAAATTTGTAGTTTTCTCTGTCATTCGTTTATTTATTTTTGTAACTGTATAGTTTTGTTCTGATTTTTTTTTGTCCCTGCTCTGCTAGGTCTCTTTAGTTATCGTTAATATAACGCTAAAAAAAAGGATTTCGATACCGGTGTGAACACAACACAGATAGCCCATTGTTTAGCTTTGTGCTTAACTATAAACAAACACAATGCCTTATTTCACATCTGTTACTCTGTATACGCGCTTGACGTTATCTTCTTCTCAGAGCTCAATTTCTAATTATGTGTATTTACATATAAATTATAATTATGTATTTTTAATAGAAAAACATACGATCGAAACGTAGTAAATAAAACAAATTCTCGGTCACAGACGTGTACTTACCTTTTTCCAATATTTATTTGAACAATAAGTTAGATCAGTTCAACGTTAAGTTAAATGCTTTGGTTCTTTTAGGTAAAGGTAAGCCGACATTATGTTTCTCATATTTTGCGTAGTTTTTATACATTACATACAAATTAAAAACGTACTTACAGGTTCGAAAAATTAATATTTATTATGTCTGTTGTTGTTTAGAGATTAATGGAATAATATTAGATGATAAAAATAGAACAAATAAATTCAAAAATAACTTATACAAAGTAAAACAATCTTATACATAAGTTGGGCCTAAAGGTTGGGAGCAGGTGGGAGGGTAAATTGTTTTATGTAGAAATATAAATTCAGATCTCCAGATGCCAGACGTAATAAATAATTCGTTTTATAGTAAGAATAATATCAACCAGTGCCTCGGTGTAGTTGTGTATTAAAATGGCAATTAGAAATAACACTTATTATAGATTATGATTTTGTCTATAAATATCTTTCGAAGTTATTGAAATTTTAATGGCTGGAGACGGCTTGAATGGGTAATGATGTACCTGATGATGACAAAACCTTGTCGAAACGTTGTACATTTGCTGTTATGTTAAACTTATATTAAAGTTTTTCTTCATTACCCATTCAAGCCGTCTCCCGCCATTATTAGTCTCAAAGTGGGTTCCTCGTCATCGAATTATTGAAATTTTGTAAGAGATGTCGGAAAGAAGATTTCAATATTTGTAAGTTATTAATTCATATTGAAGTACTTGTTAAACGATATATCAAAAGTAGGCCTACCTGTCCCAGTAAAATTCTAGTAACTAAACAGCTGGATATTATTTATTGTTAAACGATATATCAGAAGTAGGCCTACCTGTCCCAGTAATTAAACAGCTTGAAGTTATTTCTTGTTAAACGATATATTAGAAGTAGGCCTACCTGTCCCAGTAATTAAACAGCTTGAAGTTATTTCTTGTTAAACGATATATTAGAAGTAGGCCTACCCGTCCCAGTAAAATTCTAGTAATTAAACAGCTTGAAGTTATTTCTTGTTAAACGATATATTAGAAGTAGGCCTACCTGTCCCAGTAAAATTCTAGTAATTAAACAGCTGGATGTTATTTCTTGTTAAACTTACTCAGATGTGAAAAAAAAAGAGTTCTATGTGAAACAATATGAAAATACAGGTTTATTTATTTATTTTTTAATAAAGCACATTTATTTTTAGAGACACTTTCTTCTACACTGATTGTGTCATTACAATAGTTCAGTTGTAAATTGATATTATTTTGATTGAATTTATGGATAATGTACTCTCCTTTTTTAGGAGATTTTGCTCAATGCAGGAATGACTTTACGCCAGGCTGTGCTTTATAATTTTCTATCTGCATGCACATGCTATATTGGGCTTGTGTTTGGAATTCTCCTGGGTGACTTTACTCATGGAACACCACACACCTTTGCTCTTGTTGGTGGAATGTTTTTATACATCTCTCTAGTAGACATCGTAAGTATGTTTATATATTAAAGGTGATAAGATATCTTATATTTGTATTCAGTACACGTGTTTAATGTGGGTTGAATAATTTGTTATTCGACATACGATGTATGTACACTGTGACGAGAGTATAGTTAACTCTTTTTTTTTATTATTATTATTTAAACCTGATACAGTCTTGCAGAACCAGATTGTGTCGAGGATCTATTTAGTAGACATAGTAAGTGGTACAACAGATCTTTATTGTTGGCATGGTAATTGATGCCACGAGTCTATACTCTAGACATGACAAGTGGTGCAACAGTTCTTTATTGTTAACATGATAAATGATGCTACGGTGCTATACTGTAGACATGGTAGGTGGTGAACAGACCTATATTGTTGGCATGGTAATAGATGCTACGGAGCTATACTGTAGACATGGTAAGTGGTACAACAGTTCTTTATTGTTGGCATGGTAACTGATGCTACGGAGCTATACTGTAGACATTACAAGTGGTACAACAGATCTATACGGTCGGCATGGTAAGTGGTGCTACGGAGCTATACTGTAGACATGGTAAACAGATCTATACTGTTGGCATGGTAAGTGCATCTCTGGGCTTATATGTTAAATGTTTTATATCTCATTTACACTTGTTAACTTTTGTAAGTGTTCATTGTTTGTTTCCACCTAAGAAATTATCTTAGCGGAACTTAATATCTACGTATTTATCTAAACAGAAAAAATATATATAAATATTGATGATTTTTGTAAAAACAACAACAATTAAAACGAAAGTATAACCGAGTGTGTTTCTTTATTGACGTAACAATGATGATGGTTTGAAGTAAACTGCGAACAAGAATCTAGTTTAAAATGTGGAAATCTGTTAAAACTGCGTTCAAAGAATCAAGGACTTTTCCAACGTAACATTTCTTTATCGCGAATTTGTTATATTATGATGGTCATTTGCTTAATTGTCTACATTTGGGTGTAAAGTCCTAATAATAGTGATAAATATCACACTAAACTGTAGAATGGACGTTTCTTTATGTACTTCATCTTTGTTTTTTGAATTTCGCGCAAAGCTACACGAGGGCTATCTGCGCTAGCCGTCCCTAATTTAGCAGTGTAAGACTAGAGGGAAGGCAGCTAGTCATCACCACCCACCGCCAACTCTTGGGCTACTCTTTTACCAACGAATAGTGGGATTGACCGTCACTTTATAACGCCCCCACGGCTAAAAGGGCGAGCATGTTTGGTGGGACGGGGATTCGAACCCGAAGAATGGACGTTTCTTTATGTACTTCATGTTTGTTTGTTTGTTTTTTTAATTTCGCGCAAAGCTACACGAGGGCTATCTGCGCTAGCCGTCCCTAATTTAGCAGTGTAAGACTAGAGGGAAGGCAGCTAGTCATCACCACCCACCGCCAACTCTTGGGCTACTCTTTTACCAACGAATAGTGGGATTGACCGTCACTTTATAACGCCCCCATGGCTAAAAGGGCGAGCATGTTTGGTGGGACGGGGATTCGAACCCGAAGAATGGACGTTTCTTT